AATACTATTTAGAGAAAAAAATGACAATTTTATTTTACACTTTTAGGTCAACATACAGGACATATCCATTAGAGGTAGACATTATTTAAGGCAAATGAATCTCTACATGCAAGGACATTGGTGGTAACGAACTCTCATAATTTATCAAATTTGGAACACATGAGATCTAAAATTTCAAAGATGGAGTTAGTTTATACCTAGCCAGTCACTTCCCTTGACAGTATCATACATGTGCCACCTCCAGTCGTCTTCAGTCATATTTCCCAAAGCAGCATTTATACCACCCTGGACAGAATTTTATTCTCACGAATTAGTGTTGTCAGCATTTTCAGGGGCGGGGATGCTTAATATGATAGTTTCAACAAAATATACTTTGGTGCATCACCCAATACTTATGTCATGATTTGTAACTAACTGTACACGCACAGAGGAACAGGATGCCAGGGGACAATCTCAAAATGATTGGGCAGAAGAATGGTTAAATCATCATCCATCATTGATTTGATACAAATTAAACAACATATTATATTGCCAAGTTTAAATTGTAATGTATAGAAAATAAAATTAAGCCAAAGACTAATGAATTATGAAGAAGGCTGAACAGTATCAAAGTGATCCAGGACTGTAGATAAGGGACACTAACAAGTTACGTCAGGAGACATACCTAAAATTGATATCATAACCAAAGGAAGCTACTGTCACTTTCAACAAGTCGAATTTATCAGTCAATGGCCAATGTGCCAATAACGAAAACAAAAACCAGAACAAATAGCCAGAATACCAATATAGCTAACAAACAAGAGAAAAAGGTGTTGGTAAAACCCTTATACCTGAGCTGCAACCGTGTGTGAACGAGTGGGGAAGAGCTTGGTGATACAAGCAGTATTGAACCCATGCTCTGAAAGTCCAATAGCAGCTCTCAATCCCGCACCACCAGCACCTACGACAACAGCATCATAAGTGTGATCCACCACGGTGTACGAGGAGTTAACCCCACTCTGCACCACACAGAAAAATGTTTCAGCTTCAGTAAAACATCATCCGCATGTAAAAGATCCAACCTAACAGATACGGAAGGTCAAAATGAAAGGAAATAAATTTAAGTAAAAGCAACAGGCGAAGTGATTGAGTGTGTACGAGTTAAAAGGAAAACCGGAAAAGGTAAGATTGGTAAGAAAGAGAGAGTCTCGTACGGAGAAGAATCTCGAAAGGTGAGATCCGAGAGGGTGTTTGGAGGTGGATCTGGTGGTGGAAGCAGTTCCACGAAGTCCACGAGCGATGCACCGCCACATTTCCGCCGCACACTCTGCTTCTTCCGGCTGAGTTGGTGTTGTCTCCGATCGACGATTGAAGATTCCGACTCTGTTTTTGTGCGTGTGCCTCCCACCCTCACTCTTCTTGTTTTCTCTGCTTTCGTTTCTCACGCCGTCACAAAGGGAAAGGTGAACTACGCTTCAATTGTGAACACGTGGTGCGCACATAACATCGGAGATATTTAATTCGCTTTGTTAAATGGTACAGTAATTACGTATTACACTACAATTTTTACTAACAACCCATGTTATATAACATTTTGGAACATTTTTTCCAACTTTTGTTCCTTTAGGTCTTTTCCATTTTTATTTTATAGTATTTTAAGACTATCAATAATTAAAATATATCATAAGAGCTTTTTCTTCAAAAATATAAAACATTAGTAACATAACAAAAATATATTTACTAAATTTTATAATAATATTTTTTACTTATTTTAAATAAGATTTTCTATTAAATAATGTTAATTATATTGATAACGATATTTTTCATAGATAACTGTTTATGTATAACACAATCTTTGTATTTTTAGACACTTGTTGTCCTTTATTGTTTGTATGTATCTCTCTAAAATAAATAAATAAAGCCTCGATATTTTTTTTAAAATGCATGTGTTTAATTACAAAATCGAAGTTGCTATGAAACACAAAAAGTGAATGTATCAGAATCTTGGGTGTAAATAAATATTTAATTCTTGATTTTTTATATATATATATATATATATATATATATATATATATATATATATATATATATGGTTATCTTATATTGGTAAACGATAGTTTATTTTTTTAGTTATTTAATGATTTATATTTTAATTAAATAATTTTAAAATTAACCAATAACGAAAATATGTATTTGAAAAAAAAATATATAGTTAGGAATTTTTCATACTCCATATTTATTATAGGTAATAATAGTAATCTTGCAAATTGAACCCGGTACTTCCTGACCTTCGGCCCAAAAATAAATTTTCACGGGTATAGGCCCAAGCCCGATGAAAAAGTAGAGGTTTCCGTTTTTTTTTTAAAAAAAACTTGTAACGTTAAGAGCATTAACTCAATTACATCCATCAATGGGTTTGTAATTGTAGTTCTGATAATTGATTTTGAAACAGTTGTTAAATAATTTCATTATACACAATAATTAATTTATGAACACTAATTAAAAATTAATGGTTGAAACACAAAATAGGTAGTAAAATTATTATCACTCTGTATTTGGTCAATCATGATTTAAATTATATTTGTAGTACCGTCAAAGAATTTGTTTGATTTAATTTAGTTTTAATTTTTAAAAAATGTTTTTAAAATTAAGTTAAAAGTATTTTTTTAATAGTAATAATTTACAAAATGTTTTAATACAAGAAGGTGGCATCTACGATAAATAAATGAAATAAAAATTAGAAATAATGTTAATTACTTTATAATTAAAAAAAATGAGGTGTGACGACAAATAATTGAAAGAAAAATCAGAAAATAATTTTAATAATTTGATAATTACAAAAATAAGATGAAAATGTATATATCATTAATGAAAAAAATACATTAATTTATCAGTTTTTATTTTTTTAATTTCAATATAAACAATTTTTAACAAAACAGTTACACAAGTTTTTATTTTTTTAAAATTAAAACTGATAAATATTTTTAAATATAATTAACAAACCCTAGAAGTATTGATTTCTCTCTTTAAAATAGCTTAAGCCTATAATATAGATATAAATATTTTGATTAATAAATTATTAGTGTTTTCCTTTTTAATCACATCATAGCTGTATAATCAAAATTGTTTTTTAAAACGGGAAATGAAATTGAAGTGGGCTGGGCTCCAATGTTTGAACATATGTAGGCCCAATAGAAGGCAGCACACATGAAATTATCAACCCTCACTATTTCATATGCTTTCTCACTTATTTATTTGAATAACCAAACGACTTTCATTTTATATTTTCCACCTCATTTCTCCACCGTCTTTCCCTCGAGATATATCTAGATTTTCCTAGAATCACATTTCGTTAAATGATGTTATATAAACATAATGAAACAGAAAAGAAGTAACTTATCTGTGAAACTTTATAGTAAAATATCTGTAAATTGATTCGTTATGGATCCCAGGGACCAGGAGATATTGGATTTGTCGGTGAAGCAAATATTTGTTTTGATTTGGAGCGAAGCAAAGGTTGTTTTCTTGGTTGCATAATTATTGATGATCATCCCCATCCACGTTGTTGTTGTTGTTGTTGTTAGGCTGTATATTTTTGTAAATCTCGTTAAAATACAAACAGTGTCAATCTTTTATGAACTTGATAACTATTTAACCTCAAAGAGATGAACGAAACAGCCAATTTTTGGCTTTTTATATGCAGTTGAACAAGACTGTTGATACTGTCCTGAGTCCCAACCCTCTTTCGCCTTTCTTTCCTCCCAAACTTTTTCTGTCACCGAGAACTACGTATTCATAATTTTTGGAAGAATCCCCACTTGGATCCGTAATATTAACGTGCAGTTCCGTAGGCCACAGATATTGAAAAGAGATGATGAAGACAAGTCACTACGATCAGAAAGCGAAACTTAACCTAACAACAGTCACGCTACATGCCAAATATAACCTGACAAGAACCCTGTGATTTAACACTATTTACGATCAAGGCATGAAGATATATACTTGCTTTTGATCTCATTTTTTCAACCTACCCTGGTCACCATCTATCTATATGCTACACATCATAATCATTTTAATTAAGAGTTTGAGTTTAAATTGTTCATGTGAATATATAACAAATAAAAACTAGAATCCGAAGACATTCTGAATGCTGATGAATGGAGGAGAGGCTCGAGTGGGGCCTTCACCAATTACTATTTCCATGTCTACTTAATTAATCACATTACATCAAAGTCAAAGCGTGCTATTGGGCATCAATTATATAATAAAGCACCAATTCACATCTTATTTTGGTTCTAGTTTATAATTCATTCTAGTACTCCCAACCCAAACCCCGTTACAACATTTATAGCCACTACCCACCCAACAGCAAATGAATCTGCCTCCCAAATTGCAAACTTCCCCTTCTTTGACTCAATAATACAAGGGAAAAATAGATAATGGATAAAATATATATATTTATATAATGAATGATATTAGAATACCGATTTGCAAGGGGTGTGTGTGTGAACATATAATAATGATAAACAACGTTGGATTGAAATGTGAACAACATGTTCCATAATTGTGCCTTGCACGGGTTGATGTTGGGGACGTACGAAATGGGTTGGCGTAAAGGAAAGCAACAGAACGTAATGGATAGATTTATACAGGAAAGATAATTGGGATTATTAATTATATATAGTAAGAAAAGGTGGTAGATTACAATAGTGGGAACATAAGAAAGAATAAAAATTGAGGGGTGGTGGGGATTTTGGGAGGAATATATAAAAATGTACAATGTGGGTGGGTAGTAAAAATCTAGTACAGCCTAGAGAGGGAAGGGAAGGGAAGAAGTGGTCCTAATCCCTGTCTTTGTACAATTGTACTTAACATTTGTCTTCCCTTTTCCTATGCCACAAAGAAAGTAGGAACGCTTTTAATCTCATCAAACTCTTCATTTTACTCTGTTATAGGCTTGGCTTGGAGTTATTTTATATTGGGAGAAAAACTAAGTTATTGGAAGGGGTGGGGGCATCGGCTCAAATCAAAGAGTGAGCTTGGACTCTAATGGGTAGGCCCTTGGGGAAGTCCACAAAAGGGTAGGCAAAAGCTTGATCTGAATCAGCCAATTCCCAATGGTAGTTCAGGACCAGATGATGAATGAAAACAGCCATTTCAAGTTTCGCTAACTCTGATCCTGCGCATAGTCGTGGTCCTCCTCCGAACGGAAGAAAGTTATTGTTTGCTGTGCTCTTGCTTGGACAAGTTCCGCGACTTCCATTGTTCTGCACCACCAACATCAAATCAATATCCAGTTCAAAATATCACTACCAGAATACCCAACACAAGCAACCAATGATTTGAAAAACAAAATCCCACATAATTCTACATCGATGATTGTTAATTAGTGGTGTAGTCACCATAGAATTGTTATCCTGAATTGGATAATTGCTTTGGTCACTTGGGCATGCATTTTCCTTTTATTTAAGTTGAATGAACGTGGGAGGGAGAGGAAAAAAAGGAGGAGGAGGAGGAGGAGGAGGATGACCAGGTTGGGAAAAAGAAAAGCAGAAGTGCACGTGCAGGTGTAGGGCCCAGTTCCACATGGGCATTAATGATCTGGAACCTCAGGACCTGGCCACACGTTCACCAAACAGCCATGCTCATCATCATCATCATCATCCATCCATCGCATCCATTGGGACCCACATCCGTACTGTTCACAACATCCCCTTCGCAGATCATGACACTTCTTCTTCATTCTCATCATCATCATCCTTCGTTCCTTCATGCTATGTCACCTTCCTATTTCTGAAACTTCACACTACCCTTCACCTTCCTCCATCGTGCTGCTGCATGTAGGCCACACCCACACCACACCCTTGATTATTCGCCATTCTGGACAATCATTTCTTACCCCTAAACCATCACTAAATCGACTCAAAAATATAACCCTCACCCACGCTGCCTACCCTTAAAACTACCATATCTATATCTATATCTAGTATGTCCTACGTTTTATACTTTAAATAAATAACTCTAAACAAACATCAACTCTAATCATTCCTCGAACAATCACATACACATTAATTAATTAATAATCTGAATCTTGACCTTCCAGGGAATGATTTAGTTAGGGGGACTAGCATAGGTTATTAGGTTAGAACTTTAGAAGCATGTGCTTTGGTGATGAATAATTATAAGGCTACGTTTGGGACTTGGGAAGGAGGTGCTGATTAATTAGCTGTAAGCTATAAGCTATAGGATGTAGGTAGTTAATAGTACTAGTTAGGGATTAGGAGGAAGTCAACTAGAATGATGAAGGGATGACATGAAGCATTATTTTCTTTTTCTATTTTGTCAAACCGTACAAGGTTTGTACGTTATGTTGGGTCTGATTCAGAACGTAAAAAAAAAAAAAAAATTTGTTTGTGTTCTGGAAAGGAAGATAACTCACGAAGCTAATTGGGCTACGACTAGAAAACCACATGTAACTATTACGGGGTGACATTTTGGGCAAAATCCCCACCCCCAACTTCAACTAAATTTTGTTCACACCACACCTTCAAGGAAAAAAAGAGAAGCCAGTGAGGCAGTGATTGCATGTGGGGATCCACCGCAGGGACCAATTCAAGTGCTTGGGGACCTCTGCTTATTTCTTTTTCCCTTTTCCTAATGTATGGATGTAATATTTTTTCATATCAAGCATTGGCTTTTAAGAAAAAGAAGAAGAAGAAGAAAAAAAGAAAAGGGGTGCACAATAATTATACAACGCGTGCTGTCCATAGTTATAAGTAGAACTGACCTGCCATCTCCATGGATTGAAGTGTTGAGGTTGGTCAAAAAGTGAAGGATCCAGATGCACGGCTGCAATCACCGGAAGGACTTTCCACCCACATGGAATGTCATAACCTTTCAAACACACACCATTTTCAATTCGATTTCCGGCGATTTTAATTTCCACTTTACTGTAACAACCCCCCCCCCCCCCCTAAACCATGTTTTTCTATCCTTCCTTTTCTTTTTCCAGCCCACAATTTTTCATCTTTCTACTACTAAACAAATATACTAATTCCATACACCCTCCAACATACCTTTATAGTTAACATCTTTCAGAGCCTTCCTGTGGAGAAACCTCACTACATTTCCCAACCTTAGTGTCTCGTTCACAACCTTCACATAATGTAACAAATAACTCATAAATACAACACTTCATACGCTTACACACATTATCTATATAACATTCACTTACACAATGAGTAAATTCCATTCGTTTGTAATCCTCCCACGTGAGCTCAACTTCCCCTGCTTGTTTCTTGGCTCTGGCAATTTCACTGTGCTCTTCCTTTTTTATTCAGAAACGTGAAAAAAGAAAAAGCTAAATATCCCAAGTAAAATTTGGAGTGAAGTATGTGTTGGAAGGTGGACAGGGTCAGAAAAGTGATAATAGATAATGTTCGACGTGGCGTCATGGTTGTACTTGCTTACCCTTAACTGTTGCATAGCTTGAGGACAACCGGGCAAAAAGTAAATGGCTAGAGCTATGGCCACCGACGAAGTTTCATGGCCAGCGAAGAGCAAGCTCAGAATCAAGTCCAGAATTTGTTCCGTCGAAAGATTCGAGTGCTTCAAAACCCAGTTCAGAAGATCATCTTCCTCCAAGCTCTCATCTCCCTCTTGGATTCTCTTCACTCTCTCTTCCATTTTCCCCTCTATGAACTTCAGTATGGTGGACCTAGACTGTTAACCATGGACAAACATCATAGGATTAAACAATTCACCACTTCCAAATTAGAAAAGAAGAAAATGAAACGTCATTTATTATTATTGTTATTATTACCTTTAACGCCTTTCGGTATGCAGTTCCAGGTAAATTCAATGGCGCGGATACCACCCCTTTCATGAAAGTGACGTACTCTTTCTTTAGTTGCTCTGTCTCGATTTCCCCAGGATCCATGCTCATGATATGCTTCGCCATCAGATTGAAGGTGAACTGCGATTTGCATAAGCCAGTTGAGAGTGACACAAATATGAAAACGCCCCTTTAGTACTCTTTTTATGTGACTCGTGTGAGTTAAAGGTGAAACAAAAAAGTACCTTCTTGGCTTCATCTTGGGCTGAGAATGTGCAATTTTGGTTCCAAGAGTTTAGAACCAAGAGGGTGTGTTTCTCCACCTCTTTCAAGAGATGGGTTCTGAGTCTGGCGTGGCTTAGAAAGTTGAGTGATATAACCCGCATGTCTCTATGCATGTCGCCAACTAAGACCAACATGGACCATTTCCCGAGTATTCCACCAATGCTTCTGGGATAGCTGCACTCGAACAGTTTCCCTTCGTTCTGTAGAATGAACCTGTTGAGTCCTGCATCTGCTGACACTATGGCCGGCTCCCCAAATAGCTTGGACTTGTAAATTGTACCATACCTGAAACCAAACATTGGGCATGTTCATTAGAGTGATAAAGTCCCTCTATCTAGATTGTATGATTTTGTGTGTGCTGCTGTTATATACCAAGGGCAATGAGATTTGAAACTTAGAACTTAATACAAACTTTGAACTTTCAGACCGATTATACAACGTCTGGTGGCGGTTAACTAATTTACCTTGCTATGTGCTGGTCCATGAATTCCCCTATTGTGGTGGCAGAATAAGGCTTCAAATAGCCAATGGTTTCACCAAGTAATGGCCAGCCCATGTTACCAGGGGGAAGGTTGAGCCTGGGTTTGGTTTGCTTTCTTTTGATGAGAACCAAGATGAAGAAGATTGGGAGAAGAGCAAGAATGGACGAAAGAGAGTAGAAAGTTAGGTGCGAGTCAGACATGGAGCTAGCCTGTCTGATTCTGATCTTTCTAATCTCTTTCTCTTTCTTTCTTTCTCTGCGGTGTGGGTGTGTTTAAAGCCAAAAAAAAAATGTGACGACTTGTGTTGTGTGTGTAGTTTTGGTTGCTATAAGAAAAAAAGAAAAGAAAAGAAAAGAGAAAAACTAGAAAAGGTTTTGCATTTTATGGAAGCCAATGGAAGCGTGAAGCCAATAGGGTGCTTTTATAAGCTTCTCTTCTGACTTTAAGCGAAAACAGCGGAAAGTAGGAACCAGCAAATTGGCTTTACACTATGGAAAACAGTAAGCTTTTACAATTATAATCTTGTTTATGCTTTAATTATATTTCATTAACTCATCATTCTTCTTTTTTTCTTTTTTTTAAAGAAAAAAAAATAAAAAATCTATGTGCTACCTTTCTTCTCTTCCATTAATCTTTAGGCTAACCCATTCTTGCTTTTTATTCTGATTTTCTGAGAGTCCTTCTACCAGGCATGCAGGGATTAATCAATACTTTGTCTTTTCCTTTCTGCTTCCCTCTCACTTCACCTTCTCTCTTCTTTTTTCTTCTTTTCCTAATCCAAACTTCAAACAAACTCATATCTTCTTCTTTTCCAATATGTTGTATAAACTAATTTACTATAAATATGTTGTACCTACACCATTTTTTTCTTTGGTTTTTTGTAAATTAAATAAAAATTTGAGAAAAATAACTAGATATGTCTTAAAGCCAAACATTAATGACGTATTCTTTAATGGATTCTTTTGAATTTTTTCTTCTTCATTGTTTATTAAAATTTATTAAAAATTAAACCAGTTCTTGTGAGATTTATTTTTCACTCAATGAGTCTCAATTATACTTTTATACTTTGATTAAATTAAATTAATAGTTAAATAGCTTCTGCTTTTTACCTAATTCTAACTAAATTGGCATTAAATAATAACAGAAAAAAGTTATTTAATCCAAAATACGCTACTAATATTCTCTTATTCTAAAATAGTCCAATAATAATCTAGAGAGTCATTAATTTCGGTGATCATTATTAGTTTCAATTGTTTTGGAAACATAAAATTTCAAAAGTTTTTCGGATAAGTGATACTATTTAAAGAATTAAAAGTTTTTTATACTTAAAATCATATAAAAACGCATTAAAAGTTATAGGGTAGTATACTTTTTCGATCCCAATCAAAATTTTTTATATTTATTTACTTTTTTAACCAATCGCATAAAAACATTGATTAACATTTACTAAATTTAAATGATTAAAATATTGTTGATATTTTTGTTTGTTTATTTTTCATGTCTTACTGATGAAATTTATACTTTTAATTAACTGAAAATTATCTCAAATATCATTTTACAAGTAAAAATATAATTAACCAAATTATAATTCCGCATATCATTTTTTAATATATAATAATCAATAATTTACATTTCCGTGGTGAAAACTTTTACAGTACAAAAATATTGTATTTTTAAATTTTTATATTTAGTCTTGGTATCAACAAAAGGTGTGTACTCAAAAGCAAATATATATTCACTCAATAGACATAACTAATTTACATCATTGTCAACAAAAATAATTTACATTTACATTATTTAGTATTTAAAAAACAAACAATCAACAAATTTTAAGTAAATTAATTAATTGATATTATCTTTCTAATAATTTTTCATCGAATTTCATTTAATTTAGACATTTATTGTATTGTCAATTTGCAATGGACCTTATCTATGTTTCAAGTAATTGTTATCCCTCGAAATGAAGAAATGCAATGTAGTACCAGTTAATTAATTTTTTATGATAAAAATATTATTTATGTACTAAACAAAATACATCGTCATTTAATTAAAATTGTCATGTATAAAGAATTTATTATTATTCACGATAATAATCTTAAAATCATATTCAATACATTGTTGGATGACAATATAAAAAATAATATATTCTACCATATAAATGAATAATTATTTAAAAACCAGAGGAAGAAAAATAATGAATAATTATTGGTGGTTTACTGTGTGGTTATAGAAAAAAAATAGTGAAAAAAGAAAAGTGATTTAAAAGTAATCACAGAAATAAAATAAAATACTATATGCATAAAGGTTCACGTTTCATTTATAAATGAAAATGTATAAACTTATTCTAATTAATAAATTTCAATTAAGCCATTGATTACAACGATATTAGTAAAACTTTTTAGAGTAGAACTACTCTACCAAATTTTATAATAGTTATTCAAAACTTAGTAACTAACATAATTCCAACGTCGCACTAGTATTTATTTAAACAAGATTACAACGATGTTATTACATAATTGGATTAAATGATGGACGAATTTGATTATAAACGTAACAACCCACTAATCTAATTAGTATATGTATGTCTATTTTTTTATTCATTAGGTTTTTTTAAATAGGTTTTAAACCCTAATTAAGCTAAGTTAAATGGAATTGGATCTATCACAATTGAACTGAATTTGAATAAAATAATTTGGAGGTATGTTATCCCGTTTGAATATATATTTTCATGCAAGAAAATTAAATTTAAAAAATTACATCAATTTATTTGTAAACTAAAATTAGTTTTTATATATATACACACTTTTAACAAATCAAGTTTAACAAAAATGAATGTGAACCAATTTTTTTTTCTAAACATTATTTTGGAAGAGTCCGTGCAATCATATTTAAATGCAAAATTATTAGAACAAAAAAACATACTTATATTTTAAGGGTGACAAAATACTTTAAACCCAGTCAATGATTACATAAATAACATTCCAAACATTAAAAAAAAAAAAAAAAACATCGGTTTACACGCTGTACATAATATGAGAATTCATGATTACATGTTTTTATTTTTTTTATTTTTGTTCATATGATATACTTAAGTTTTGTTCAATACCTAACGTTATTAATTCTAAATTTACGTTATTATTCAAACGAACACATTATTAATTCTATAATTGGTGACGGGTCAAGTATACCAGTGAATATATTACTATCTAAATATTCATAGTTAATTGATAAAAAAAAAAAAGTTTATACATTTAATAATAAAAAGCTTCCTTTTTTATTCCAGAATTAAATATTATTTACAGATTATTAAATCCGTATAACATTTGGTGGACGGAGGTGTTTGTAACACCCACCACGGAGGTGTTTAAATTTTTATAAAAAATAAAAAAAAATTATCTATCTATAAATTAATATACATATATAATTGATTTATTAATATTATTTTATATTTTTATTTTTTAATATATTTTGTATTTAAAAAAATGTATTAACCTCATATTGAATATAATAATATTATTAAAATTGATTAATCATTGGTATATTATGTATATTTTATTTTTTAAAAGTATGTTGATGAATTAAAATAAAATAAAAATTCTTTATAAAACACTTTTAATGTCTGACTGTAAATCTACCCTAAGAATATGAACATATTAATTTAAATGAAAATATTTTTAAGTTGGAAGTGAGAGGGAATTTTAGGTAGTACTATTTGGATAGTATGTAATAATGACGTAACAAATCAACATTGGACGTTTGTAACGAATGAAATTTGTTAATTGATAATATGTAATGGATGGAAATAAAGACGTGATTTTGATATTATTAGTTTGAAATGATAGTGATGGAGAAGAATGGAACAGTAGCAACAGAGAGTGCTGTTAAGGGAGTGTTTGGATGAGGTGAAGAGCAGGAGTGACGGGCTTAATGATATGTCGGCGCACTGAATGAATTTTGATCCGCGTGTAACATAGTAACAATGTACTAACATATAAAATTTAATTTTATGCGCACTTGTGGATCCCACAGAAAATAATTCACTTGCCCATGACCCAAAATATCTTAGCCTACTAACCTAATTACTCTTTTATTCTTCTGGTTACGTGTGAGATTTATATTTGGTGATAGATCTTATTATGAGATTTTTCTAACAAATTTATATATTGAATCATAGAGTTTAATTTTTATTTTTTATTATTATTTTATAAATCGAACATTTTTTATTTTTATTTTTTCGAAATAACTGGTGACAAGATCTGTCAAGAAGTTGAACTGCAGCTTCAGCTATATTAAATATGTAGAAAATTATCAATTGATACTTTTCACCCGAAATTAATAGAATAGTTAAAACTAAAGGTATACTTTTATTTTATAGATAAGATATAATAAGATGACATAAAAAAATGTTTTATTTTATATTTCAAATACATTATTACAACTTTTTGTCAAATATTTATTATTTTGCTTATAATGGAAACCCACTTAATAAATCATATATTATGTGAATTATAATTATAAATTTTTAAATTTATACTAATATTATTATAATTTTTGTAAGGTTATATACCTATTAATAATTTTCCTCTGACCTTTTTTATTCATTAAAGAAAAAAATTAATATTTTGATCATTATAAATATATTTGATTAATACAATTTTTTGTATTTTATTTGTTATACAAATTAACATTAATAAATTAAATATTTAATACAATTTATATTATTTATTTTAAATTTATAGTGAATACATCAATTAGAAAATCGTAATACAATATAATAAAGTATATCACATGATCATATTTATTAACATTATTAATAATGAGAAAATATGATTAATAAATTACATATTTAATATAATTTATATTATTTATTTTAAATTTATAATGTATACATCAATTAGAAAATCGTAATATAATATAATAAAATAGATCATATCTATTAACATTAAGATAATATAGAAAATAATTTAGTTAAATATAAATTTAGATATTTTTTTCATTATTTATTGATTGTATAGATATGCAACAGGGAGAATTTATATCAAATATTTAAATCTAATATATTTCTCATTTCTTAAATATTCTTTTATAATTTATAAATTATTTTCACTTTAAATAATATAAATCAAGTAACATTGTACACTGAAATAATATTCTATATCTAATTTCATCTAGAAAAAATAGTTCAACTTGAAAAAATATA